TTGTCTGTCACTCATTAAGCTACAAAAAAAGAAAGGAAAAAAAAAAAGCTTGGGGAATTTAGTGCTTTCAGAGTGGAACTGAGGGGAAAATTGTGCATTCCTCCTACGACCATGGTCTGGTATTGTTATAACTGAAAATACAAAAACCCTACCACCGCTGCCACCACCACCACCATCACCAAGCGAAATGTGTCCTGCGTCCTCATTATGCACAGGTCTGAGTGAAGGTTATTACATGGCAGTGATCTAACTTTTGATAGCTTTTTGACCATGTTTATTTTTGTTTCTTTGTTTTGTTTTTCTGTTTAGTTGAAGAGGTAGATCAGTGAACTGTCAGTTAATGTTTAAAATGAGGATCAAAGCTTTTATTTCCTAGTCTTTACACATTTTTAGAGAATGTTTTTAAGTTGGGAAAAATAAAAGAATCTCCAGATCGCGTCATTTTAAATCCAGCTTTATCCCACCGGAGAACAAAGCGAGAGAATTCAGCTTCAACAGGGAGTCCTCAAAGCCACTTCTGGCCCTTCTGTATATTTAGCCCCGTAATACTTTTACTGTCTTTTGTTTGGGGTTTTTTTTTTGTTTGTTTGTTTGTCTCACACCACACCCCAGTGTAGTCCACAAATCTGTTTGCACAAAAATTAAACTTTGCATATATACTGTCTAAAGGAAAAAAAAGTTAATTAACCAAGCACATGCTGTTTATGATGACGAATGCTCGTTTTTAAAACGGAAAACAACAACAACAACAAAAAAAGAAACCCAAACATTTTAACCATTCTTACACCTTTTTGTCTGGCAACAATGTAGAATAAAGATTAACCCATCAGATCATAATCCACCCTGCCCCTCGTTTTGTTTTGGTTTGTTTTCTGTTCATGCCCTCCCCTCCTTATCCTTTGTTTTTTCCCCTGGTTTCTGTTGCCCGTGGTTGGGACCGGTGATGTGATTTGGTCAGGTAGAGAGTACCTCCACTTTAGCCCGGTTGCAATCCGGACGTTTTCTCTTTTAACAGAGGTGCCCATTCCGTGCTTGGAAATGCAGTTACTACTCTGTGAATGACATGTTGTATAAATCAATGTTTGAAAATAATGATATTGAAACTTTTTAAGTTAAAAACGAAAAAAAAAATTTTTTTGGTTGTCTGCCATGGGTGGGTTATCTCTTAGAATCGCATGCTGTAGAATTGCTTAAAAGGTGCATATGAAATTAAGTCCTTTTGATGTTTTTCTTTGAGAAAATAACCTGTTGAATATATCAATACGATGGTATTTATATTTTTCTTTTTCCTTTTTTCCTTTTTTTTTTTTTTTTCCTCTTTGTTTTTGGCTACTCCGTGCATACACGATTCAACTAAAATGTCAAAGCTATGCACTCGAGAAGCAAACCCTGCGACATTAACGGTTACTTGGTCCATACTTGGGAGGGATTCCACAAAAAATTAAAGTAATGTAAGTGTTTAAATTGTACACACATACATACGTACATTCATTCACGTAAACATACACAATCTCCAATGGAACAAAATAAAATTTTCATTCCTTCTGTAGCAAACGAAATTCCATTTACAAAGGAAAACATTTTATAACAGGTTTTTTCTGTCCTTTAATAAAAAAAAAACGGAAAAAAAAATCTTGCAGCATCTGAATGGCAGAAGTTTCTGTTGTTCCCTTCTTGTAAACAAACGCTCTTTCTTTAGCAGTAGTGACATTTTTTCCATTCTGTTTTTTCTCTGCGACATTCTGTACAAAAAAAAAAGTGCTGTAATTGTGCGTTAGGCCTGGAGTTGGCAAAAAATAAAACAAAATAAAAAAAATATTACAAATTAATTAAATTCCCTTTCCTTTTTCTCTCTTTCTCTATCAAATAACTGTAGAGCTCTGCACCCCCACTGTTCCCTTTTCACCTTTTGTATTTAATTTTAAAGTCAGTCAGTGTACAACCGAAAGCTGGATGCAAGATAGAAACTATATTAAAATGTACTGTTATTTAAGATGTAATAAAAAGCAGTTTGAGATGACCTACTGTGTTGAGTGTGATTCACTTAGAGCATTTCCCACTGAAGCTAGAATGTTGCAGACTGTTTGGTTTCCTTGTAATTATGTTCAAGTCAATAAACAATTTCTTATCCACTGTTGAATCAGCCTGCCTCTTCTGTACAGTCATTAACGCACTCACTTAACTCTTTTTGTTCATCAGCACTTACAATGAGTGTAAAGGCACCTTCTTGTAGTGCCACTCTAAGTGTGAAGACTAAAAATGAAATTGCAGACTGACTTCCCAGCTTGAGTAACAGCAGCATACATGTCCACGCTTGCTGAAAACATCAGCGTAATTATACACGCCGATCTTAACTGGCGTGCCTTGCTAAAGAGCATTTCCCTCAGTGTTAGCAGTTTGCATATTGCTTACTCGGTATATTCTCACACTTGCTGATCCCTGCTTCACCGATGGATGATCAGAGTCCTTTCTAATGATGTACATGCTTTGGTAATAATCCTTGATGTTTACTGCCCTCTACTGGGCAGACATCTGAAATACAAATACAGATTATTTTGTGTGGATGTGGCAGAGAATGCATGACCATGAGCAAGTAGCTTTCCTTCTAGATGGTCAGCACATCTGTAACAACTCCAAAGAAATTACCAAGTCTGGTCTTTCTGATGACATGTAGAACTTGATAAACAAGTGGCAAAAATAAAGATAAAAAAAACACTACATCAAAATGTACTGATTCAGCCTCTTGGGTAAAATCACTTTTTAAGAGCTTTGTTTTTTCAAATTCGCTGTATTTCCTGTTACTAGAGTCGTGGGAGGAGGGGGGGGATCTAAAATCGGAAGTAGTGGCTCAGGGTGGGGGGAAAAAATCACACCCCACAATAATTTCTGTTGTAATCTCCAGCATTTTCTTTGTGTACAGGCTGTGATCAGCTGAAGTGTGTTGCTGCTGAGGTTTACTGCTCTTTGTGGATTTACACAGCTGAATTCAAGCAAATGTTTCACAAGCTGTCTTGGCGGATTTCCATGGTATACTGTTTATACTGTCTTTTTACTACACAGCACACAGTTGGTATAAAGATTCAGTAAATGAATCGAAGCTTAATCGCTTACATCTAAATTCATCTCTGCTACACTTGATGTACCCTTGATGTAATCTCTGACCGTGAACACTACAGTCACTGTGGTGTTAAGTCCAAAGCAGTGCTTTACTTTAAATTCACCACAGTACAGCGAGCCAACCTCTTTATATGCACTAAGCTGCTCAGTCTTCGAATAACACACAGTAGGCTATACACCATAACTTACCATCATATACGGACCCAATATGTGATTAAAATGATGATCTTTAAATCTGGTGTCACTGAGCAGTTCTTACCTTTAAATCTAACGTTTCTTCTGCCTCCCATCCTGTCTTTCTTATCTTTCTCCATCTCTGAGGTTTCTTTGCTTCTTTCTTTTCGCTCCCTGGGAAATGCAGCAGCTGAACCTTTAGCTGGCAACACACCGTGAGTCAAACTGCATACAAACGGCTTGTGTGTGTGCTGATATCTGTCCAGCTGTTAGAAATGTTGCATTTGAAATGACCTGCTGCAGCATGTGTCTCTGTAGTGCGAACTAGATCCTGAAGTACAACACAGGCTCCACTTTAGCCACTGGTAAGTATAGTGCTGTGAATGATGCATAAACAATATGTTGTTGTTTTTTGTATTTTATCTCTGCATATGTGATAAGCCCCGGTGATGGCTACACCAACAGCATTGTCTTTTCTGTGTTATTGTTCCCTCCATTTAGGCTCAATGATGTTTGATGGAAATAAAAACTTCCCTCAAACATGTTAAACCTAAGTAACATAAAGTTAGGTAAAGTAATGTGAATTCTAGTATTTGTACTCCGTTATTTCCCACCTCTGTAAAGTTGTACTGATTGACTGAAGCACACTGAAGTGTGTAACAATTGCCACAGTATTCTTTATTTTTTGTTTTTGTGCAAAAGTCTTGAGCCACACCTCATTTCTTCATATTTTTCTAAGAAAATGGGAAATGGGTGCAGCGATTTTTGAAACATGTTTCAAACATACACGGAAATAAGGCAAAACCGGAGTTTGTACAATTCTAATGAGCTTGAAAGTCAATATTATACGTTTTTGTAATTTCTTTAAGTAATCTTCAGGAATAGGCTGAATTCTATGGGATTCTTGACGCACATTCAAAGCTTTGGTTTGGATGTTGGCTGGCTTTTGTTCTATTCTGTATCAAGTCTTTTCTCCCAGTTTCACTTCCTTAAAAATGGATTCTTAACAGCCACCCTTCCACCGAGACCATTTCTCCTTTGCCAGATTGGATTTTTCTATTTGTTAAAGACACAACTTTTAGACACTGTTCATTTGCTGAAGGATTATCATTTCTCTCCCACTTGTCCACTTTCCTCTGTTCTTTTAAAGACACCATGCACACCATGCTGCATGTTAACTTTTCATATAATAGCTAATTGAGAATCACCTGGTACATCCCTCAAGTAAGGTAGCTTTTTTTTTTTTATTGCTGAATGATTATATGAATGTTAAATGGATAAAAAACAAAACAAAAAATCAGCATCTGTCAAAATGGTGAGGTACTCGGACTGGAAAATGAGTAAAAAAGCAATGCCCAAAGAAAAACCATGAAAGACCAGAACCATTGCTAAAGACCATTTTCAAAAATGACAAGGAGAGTCTAGTCCCTTGTAAGGAAAATATAAAAGAAATGAGGGATGTTTTTCCCGCACAGTACTGTTTAATGGAAAGAAACAGAATAAAGCGGAATAAGGGTTATTTTGCGGTTTAATCATTAAGAGGGGTGATAGAAATTTAAACCTGGAGGCTTTAGTGGAATCATTAATCCAAAATAATCCCTTAATTCATGCAGCAGCTATATCTTTATGTCTTTGCCGTATAATTTTGTACCTACAATGTAGTTTGGTCCTGTGATATAATCTGAATGCTGTATATATAACCTGTGGTGCTGTAGCCTGGAGTGGTAGTCCAATATGACGTCGGCGCAGAGGGAGCCCGTGATTGGCTGGTCAGTATGAGGAAGTTGCGAGGCGATTGTTGATTCCTGAGTAGTGAGATGGTGTAACTATATTATTATCAAAGCGAATAATAATGGTGAAGTTCTGATCCTGCGGGATTTTGCCGCGCGCCAGATTTGCGTCGTCTCCCGTGACGTTGTGAGTAAATAGGTAGCCGTGCAGCTGGATGATGTGACGCTCTGTGATCAGGACGGCTAACTGCTAGCTTAGCTTGGGAACTAGCTCAGTTGCCTAACCGGTGATATATCTGTGGTCGCCACCATTCATCCGTTTATATAGTCAGGCAAGTCGGTGGAGGTCCTGTTGTAGACCACACGGGACAGTTCGACCATTAGAAAAGTGATAAATCACAAAGAGAGCAAAGACGAGGCTGTTAAGCGCAAGATAAACATTAACCTGTGTAAGCTAGGTTGCATCTTTTTCTCTAGCTGGCTGACGGTAAGGAAAAAACTTTAGCCAATATAATTTAGTTGAAGCTTAATTTTGGCATAAGTTGAAGTTTTTACTGTTTGGACAAAAACTTTTATTTCAATTTAATATCGACTTAGAAAAGAGTGCATAGTAACCCTTGTGTAATTTGGTGAACGCCGGTTACTGGGAAATGTAATCTGTAAGATCGATAGAAATAAAATAAAATAAAATAAATAGAAATATTTGAGCGCGTCAGTAGATTTTATGTGACCCGAGCTGTAGACTCGCTCGTGTTTTCTTTATGTATATAATAGTTGGAATGATGTTCTGTAAGTTTTTGCCTCTTTTGGACCATCAGTACAAAAGCTGGTTTTATTACATGAAGTTTGGCGCATGCAGCCAATACACTGAGCCGGGGTTGTTTCTGCCAGCTGAGCTGATTAATGGTTGCTAGGGTGTTAATGAACAGAGTGAGCAGATCAGGACAAACTCATTGCTGTTGATGCACCTCATGGGAGGAGTGTGATTGAGGGGAGAGGGCGCAAATTAAAAAAATTGGCATTTAGCAATTGAAGAACAAATATATTTTATGTGTGCAACTTTGCCAGCTCTTTCACTAGGTAAATATTACTAGCTATAGTCTATTTTTAAGTTCTTATGCTATAGTCCCTGTATCTGTTAAGGCTGCGATTAAATGTTATTTCAGCAGCTCTTTTGTGTGATCATTTTCTTTGGGTGTCAGTGGGGATGAATACATAAATTGGCACATTTCTTTTGATTCTGAGCCAATTGTGAGAAACACACATACTGTTGTATTTTTCCCAAATTCAAAATAACTTGAACAAAAGGCTTTGAAAATCATCTTCGACCAGCCTCACACAGTTGTGCGTCATCGCCCAGCATTTATTGTCACTTAGTTTTCATTCCTTTGTCGCAGTTTATATCCTGTATATTATACAGATATAGATCAGGTGTCACACTTTGCGTGACACCTGATCGCTCTACTCACGAAAGATTGCTGTGTCATGTCAGTTTACCTCCAGCCTGGCTGTGTGAGATGGAGGGCGGAAAGGACGTGCGAGTGGAATCTGCCCCATACTCCTGCTCCACCTGTGATGGAGGGGAGGTGCCTGCCCGCAACCTGACTCGAAGAAACAGAAAAGTCCGCAGCTTGAGCACTTCGTCAGCCAGCACCTCCTTTGAATACAGGTAAAGCAGTTGTCCACACATGAAACTTTATTTTATCTTTTTCTTTTCTTTTTTTTTTAAGGTGGTAATGAGCCATGTTTAAAGTGCAAAGTCAGAAGAATAGTATTACTTATAACTTCAACCCCTCATTTTTATCTTTCCTTAGGGTTATGGGCGTGTGAGTGAAAAATTGCTGATTCACTGGTCAAAACCTCCTGCTTATCAGAGACGTGACCCTGGTGCAGACTAACCTTTAAGCAAACAAACCAGGGCTTGCTGGATTTACAATATGCTTTAAGTTGTTGTCCAGTTGGTCAGCTCACTTTCATACAGAGCATTGCTATAAAGGTCAAGATATTAATTCATTACTTCTCACTAAATTTGCAGTAACTCTGTCACACACATACACAGATACAAACAGCCACGAAGAGGCCCGCTACATGTAACGATGCCAAGTGTTCAGCCTGAAACATCCAGATGTTTTTTTTCTTTTTTTTTTTTTTAAATGGTCCATGTTGCCATGACTATAGTCCAGTAATGCAATCGGTTAACCTGATTGCATTACTGCGCTACCACCTTGTAAGCAGATTGGAAAATGTTGAGACACAATCACAGTTGCAGCAGCTGAGACTTTTGTGAAATGGATTTGTGTGGGTATCTGACTTCACGGAAACAGGATGTTTAAAACCTCTTTGGTTTGCTAACTGTTCATGTTGCAAGGTTTTGGTTTTTTTTCAGAAGCATTAAGATTTAGGAGGAATTTATCCTAATTGGGAAAGGACCCTTTTCATTGTAGCAAAGCAAAAAGTGAAGTGGACCTCCTTGGCTGAAAAGTAACTAACGTGAGTTTAGTTAAAAGCTTACAATAAAACCAGAGCTTACGATAAGCGGATCACAGTTTGATATCTGTGTATTATTTTACTAATACAACGCAATACAATATCTTCTGTTGGAGTAGTTTTAAAAAAATGTTGTGACTCCACCTGCACTGTGATCCAGTGCTGGACTGAAATATTGATACATTCTCAGATTGCTCGAGAAGTTACGCAGAAGTAAAGCTTACGTACACAGCTGGTTGCTTGGGGACGTTGTAGGCTCTGGTAACCTAGGTGACCGTCTAATGCAAGGATGTCAAACTCATTTTACATCGTGGGTCAGATACAGCTCATTTAGATCTCAAGTGGGCCGGACCAGTGAAACTGCCCTTTAACTAAACATTTAGTCAGAGGTCAAGTAGTTTTAGCAGCAAGTCTCGGTTTTGGTTAATTCACAGAATGTTTTTTGGACCCACTATAAAAAAAATAGATTTCTATAATAGAGAACCTTTCTATTATTTAATTGTTTATCTAACACTTAACTAGTTTGGTGTGGTATGAGTGGTCATGTGGAGGTCTTTGTCAGTAGGAAAAGCTGTAAAGCATCTTCCAAAGCCTTCCAGGCCAATTCTGTCCCCCTGGCCTTATGTTTGGTCACATGTCAATCAACGATATACTTAAGTCTCATTGGTAGTCTCGTCAGTCTCTCACCTGAGACTGACCTGAGCAGTCTTTTTGCCCATAGTTGCTTGAAGTCACTAAATGCCATTTACTTTTTATGCTCTCTGGTTGCTACCACCACAAATCCAAAGTACACACAGCTTTACTCTGTTTTTGTACTTTAGTGTCAGAGCTTCATCTTTTTATTTCTCTTCTCTTTTTTCCTTTGCCCATTTGGTGAATGTAAAAGTCTTAAAGTTGCATTACTTTTTGTTTTTTCTCCACTGGAGGGGAAAAATGACCCTAAAACAAGCTCACGACTGCTTATCGTTGATCGAACTGCTGTCACTTTAAAACATTTGCCTTTTCTCCACATCATCCCATCGGACTCCAGTTTTTTGGCGTTCTGACAAATACCAAAGCAGTGAGCGAAACAAGAGCAGCAGCAGACTCTGTAGAGTTGCAGACTTGGTGATAACTGTCAGTGCTTTTGTCAGTGTGAGCAGCGGCTCTGGCGTTGCGCGTTAGTTTCTTTACATGTTTGTATGAAAATATCGTTCAGTGCAGCTTTAAGAGCGCGTAAACGGCAGATGGTGCATTCGCAGAGTGAGACGGCTAAGAGGATTTGATTGAGTGATTCAGCATGAAGGCTGCGTTTGCGCCGTCAGTGAATGCCACCGCTGACCTTTTGACCCCACACTCCAGTCACAATGCGTTAACAAAGCCTAATACAGACAGGTGCTTAAGATTTTCATTTTTTCCACTGCGCAGAAAGCAGATTTCTGTGAGCTCCAGAGTAAGTAAGTGGATAAGTAAGGCTTATAAAACAGCTTGTCGGGCTTAATTTCACCGATGCACTCTTAACACTGCACCTATGACAAACAGACGCCCCAAAAAAGTCTAATTCTGAACAAAGAACATTTCAAGCACTGGGCTGTAGCGCCACAGTTTACACTTTCACCTATCAAATGAAAGGTTTCCAGATCGACGCAGTGACACAAATAGAGACTCTAGTGGTGTGTCGAAGCTAAGTAGACACAAAATAAGCAAATATCGGCTGATTTGTGAATTCTGTAAATTCTGAACTTCCGCTTCTGTTTTGTAGACGTCTCCAACAGCCTTTGTTTCGCTTCCCCTTTTTTTTTTCTTTTTTTGTCTTGAAAACTGAAATTAAAAGTGTAATTTGTTTGGTGAAAACTTTGACAAAAAGAGTTGATAACTTGGGAATTTCTAGAGACTAGCATCGGCATCAAAGGGTGAGTGACATCGTCTGGTCTTGAGCTCAGCTTCCAGTTTCCTGTAAACGAACAGATGACAGTAGAAGAGGTTGTGGGGTCAACTTATGCGCAGTTCGAGTAAGATGAGATCATTTTATAATGCCTTGGAGTCTTCATTTGCGTTCTTGCCCAACTACTTGCTGTGTTTACATGTGAATGTTTTTTTTTTTTTTTTATCATGTCTTTTAGGAGGACTCAATCACTTCATGGACCGAGCCCTGTGACGACATTCGGCCCCAAGGCATGCATGCTCCAGAACCCACATGCAGTAATGTAAGTCAAACAGGGAGAGTTTTTTTTAATTTTTTTTATTTGTTGTTCACCTTTGGAAGTCATTCCTAAGCTTTAGTTTCAGTGTGAGTCATTGTACAGTGAACAGTAGTGAGTTTAGTGTGTCTTTGCATCACTAAAACCCACCTGTACAACAAAGCATCGTGTCATTGCTTTGAAATCCGGTTGGGCCTGTAAAGGGTTTTGGAACAGAGAAAAGAGCAGTGTTGCTAATGTCCTTATTTGCAATAGCCAATAAGGACATGAGTGGTCAACTTTTGGACCAGTTCTTTTACCTTCAGTTATGCAATCCTGTAGTTAACTTTGACGCTAATCTAGCATGTCAGTCTTGTGTAGTTTTCGTGGCACAATGGGTCTAAATGCTGCAGTCAAATTAGCGTTAAAGGCTATAAAGGAGCTTTTTAGCATCACGGTAAGACTTGTGCCATCTGAACTTTTGCAAGTCCTTTCAGATCTGGATGATTTTAAGGCCTAGCTAAAGCTAGCAGCAGAGTCTGTTTTTCTGGCCTTTTTTGGAGAGGCACAAAGAAAAATAATCTGAAATAAGTGATTGTCACTAAGGAAGTGCTGTGGGCTCAGTATTGATAATAAAAGCAACACCATAGTGTCATAAAGTACACATTCATTTCAGTTATTGTTGGATCTCTTTTCTTTTTTTAAATGACCCATATAGATCTACTCTACACTTAAAAAAAGCTTTTTTTTTTCTGTTTTTGTTTTTTAAACAAAAAACAGAAATGCATTTCTGTTCAGTTAAAAAAATAAAATAAATGAAAGAGTAGAACTGTTTTTAATCCTTTAAGACAGATTTAACACAAGCAAAGCAGGGCTAATACAAGCTGACTGCTAATACACAGTCACTTTAGGTTTCCATGTTTCGAGTCAGGTTTTACTTTAAATCTAGATTAAAGCCTGAGCTGAGTTTGATGCTCTGAGGCTGTTTTCATGCTGATCTTCAAAAGCAGGTAAATTCCTCAGAGCTCAGGTCGTTGAACGCGTGCACATGCAGCACATACTCCAACGTGCCAAATATATATATATTTTTTTTAGCCAACGCCTTTAACAATGATTAGCTAAATGTTCTGCACAAGATTGAAGACCATGTGCATACTAACTAATCAGTAACTTGATCAGCCGTCCACATTGTGCAGGACACGCCAGGATGAGGAAACAAGTGTAGAAAAAATACTGTTAAGCATGTGTCGGCGTCATGACTGACATGCTCCATTGTTTCTGAACTCCAGTGCAATTTTGCTGTAAAACTAGTTAACACAGCTTAAAAATCATTATCATTCACTTCTTTAAAATAATCAGTTTATGAGAACAAGTATTCCATGTAAATGTGCCAATTTCCTCTTTTGTAACTTCCAAGTGTAAACGCAGCATGTTGCACATCGTTTGGTACTTCACGTCTAGTCTTTATCAGCCGGTTTCAGTGCTTAAAGTGGAACCTTGAATCCAAAATGAGCTTTAGCATTACACTAACATCATTCTTCATTGTTGTGTTGGCATTTATTAATTTGTCATCAGTGATTTCATTCTAAACAGAGCTTGGTTATTAGTGTTTATGAGTCTGCTGGGTGCTTCGTGATAATCACACATCACGTTGGATCACATCAGCGCATCTGCTTTCCTTTTTTTGAATCTGCTTTCCTTTTTTTAAAATTATTTTATTTTATTTTTATTTTAACCTCAGATCAGTCCATGCTTTATTTGAGGTTTAAGGTCATGTGCCTTAACTACTTAAGAGTGTTTGATTGTTTGGCCTCATAAATTTCTTGGTTGCCGTGTCTGGATGATAAGTGAGTGTCCTGCTGCGCATCTACCTTTAAACATAACATGTAGCATCGAAGAACGCTGTGTTGCGTTGTTAAATAGAAAGAAGGGAACATGAAGGTTCGAATAATGACTTTTACAACTGTTTAGATTGAGCATATCAACAATGATTTCTGTTCAGTTCTTCTCAGGCTGGAAACAGCTTCACTGTTCTTTGTGTCCTGTGTGTTGAGCACAATACCCAGAATAAGAGAAGCGTTATGGGTCCCTTTCACATTGCTGAACTTTATAATTGCTTGGCTATGTGACACTTTCACTATGTTTAAGCTGTTACCGTTTGACCGTTGTGTCTTTTTGAGCCTCCATAAACATTAAAAATTATTTTAATTGACTATTTAGTAACACAACTTGCAACAGCATGCTTTTCTTTTTTTTTTCTTATGTTCCTGTGGTAATGGCTGGTTTCATGGACGCGAGCATAAACCGTAATATAAAAAAAAAAAAAGGCAGCCAGAGTGTAAATGTCTTAAACCTGCATTCTACCTGAAGGTCAAAAAATGGTCATAGCTGTGGCTGCAAAAAGCTTTGTGGTCCTATAGACGTCTGTGGGAAAACATAACGCTTTCCTAGCGAGTTTATGGGCTCGGTCACTTGTTTAACGTCCCACTCAATTTAAAAAAAAAAAAAAAAAAGAGAGGAAGTCTGTTTGTTGTAAATCCTTGTCATTATGTTTCAAAATAGTGTTATCTACACACTCACTGGCCAAAAGGTGATCAGTCACAAACCATTAGCGAATAAGCGTAGGAGCTTTGTGGTCATTCCTGCCCCTTTTTGTCACATCCTGTTGTTTGCAACCAAAGATGAAGGCGGCAGGACCGATCATGTCAAGGCTTCAGATTGGGTGATGTCGCCGTGGTTACGTCCATCTTTTCTGCTGTCAGTCTCTTGGTCATTTTTTTTGTTGATACATTTTTTTTTTAAAAAGCCAAAGTTTCCTCAAATCTTGGATGCTCACCAATTTGCAAAGGAATCACCTTTTCAACTTTCATGTACAGGAATCCAGTAGTTTCTCTGCATAAAAGATTGCATGCAATCCAACATATTTTGATAATGTTGTTCAAGGCGTCAGCACTACTTGTTTCTTACAGTCACTGTGGCATCACTGTCATATACATGAGTCACCTTATTTGATTGTGCCCTAGATCACTCATCGTGCTGCAGTTAGGAAAGTCTTGACATTCAAACTGTTGATCTCTTGACTCGATCAATCACATAAGTGTCTGCGTTTGTTCAGGCAGATTAGCTCCCTTAAAGCTGCTCGACAGGTTAAAAGTAGCAAAACCAGACTATCTTTATTCCAAAGGCTGCACTGTAGTTCATTTCAGGATAACCTGGTTTCACATATTCAGTGTTTACAAGTGTAATGTTTGCACCTACTGTGGACCCTCAGCTGCTGTGACCAGTAGGTGCTATGCTTTAGGGCAGTAGGAAGAAGGAAATGTGATTAAAGGTAAAGTAGCACCAGTTTAGACCTTCCTAACTGGAAACTCGCCTCTTAGATCACACTCTGTGGAAGGGTGTGGCTGTGAGTGCTCAAAGCAGATGGATGCAGCCTTGTTTCACTCATTGTCGGCTTGTTTCGGGGAACTGCAGACACATGTGGCCACATTGATACCCGACACCCTAAATACACCCTGAAAACTTCACAGTGCATTGTTCTGAAGACCAGCCATGCTACTCCCTTTGTTCTGTGTTGTGCCTCATTGCTTTGTTGACTTCCACTTGAAAGACGAGAGCTGAGGCAACTGTAGTCAAATCCGAAGTACCGCTGAATGCACACAGAGTGCTTATGTCATGCCTACATGTGCTAAAACATAATCAGAACTTATGTTAATTTTTTCCCACTAAGTAGAGATTTAATTGAACCAAATTAAACCTGGCCTTTTATTAAATCTACAAGTACGTTTAATTCCTTGTGATCAAAACTACTTAATTATCCAGAGTGGCCCAATGGTAGTGACAATATGTTTAATATATTATTTTGAGGTAAAGCCCAATGAGATGCACCAAGCGTGAGCAGTTCACACAAGCAGAGATAAGAAACAGAGTGTGCATTACTAGCATACCAGTGAACAGGTGTAGTGATTTACACATTTGTGATTTTGGGAGGAGACACAAATCCATTTAGGGTTGTCAGGAAGGGCATCTGTTGCAAAAACGGGCTAAATTAAGCGTGCAGAGAATAAGAAGAGTTCAAATTAGTTGGGTTTTTTGTTTGTTTGCTTTATAGAAATTTACTGTAATGTTAGGTTTTAGTGGAAGATTGAGGATGATCACTTTCTAAAGGACTCCCAGAAATGCCCCAAAAATATTTTACAGCAGGTACTATTCATAAACTTTGACTCAGCTCAGTTTTTTCTAATTATATAAATGTACACTGATGTGAAAATGTCAGCGGGGAGACTAAGGACAGCTAATGTCTGAAGGCAACTTCTTATTTGGTTTGTGACTTATTTGTGTTTCCTGTTACAGTCACACTGTAGGTTCCCATTATATCATGTGTGAAATGTGATTTTTATGCTATAATGTTTATCCTCTCAATAAAGTCCATATTGTTTAAGTCTCTCTCTGCTTACCGTAGAGCATGAGGAAGTTCAAATAGATCCTGGTGTAATACCATAACCCAGAATTGCATAATTTCCTAACAAAAGCTCTGTTGATGTGTTTGATTGTTTCCTTTCTTAAGCTGACAGATCACATTAGTCATCTGTCATGCCCATTGGTCTAAGAGGCCTTTCATTGCATTGTACCAGGTCCGAGTTGTACCGGCGTGGTTTCAGTGTTTGAGATAATCACACCTGTCTGACAAGGAAGGTCCTTCCCAGAAATGGGCGGGTTCAGTACAGCAGAGTGGGCGGAGTCTGCGATGAAGTCAACTTTAAGATGAGTGAGAGGTCTGATTCAGCAGCAGAATGCAACAGGAAGGTTTAGTGTTAAGTCCTCGCTGGGCCAAATATAGCCACGGACGATCCATCAGCAGGGGTGGCGTTGCTGCTTGTTGTTGTTAGTTGTTTTCAGCGCATGGAGACACTTCCAGCCTCTCAGACTGCCGGTGGCTGACTCGCGACTGGACTTCAGGAAGCAAACTGATTCAGCTGCTATAATGTGCAGCTTTCAAGGAAGTAGTTAGAAGCGGAATGAACTGTTTTGTCAGAACGGGCCACGACGACAGAGCCCCGTTCTCCAGCTGAGTCATCCTGAAGCAGCATCTCCGTTACATGTGTACAGTTATGAAGTTCAACCAGTGTGTACTGCAGGACGCTCCTGCGAGCCACAGCGAGAACAGGGTCTGGAAATGGTGAGAAGGCTTTCTAGCATCTTCTGTGTCTTTCTCAACAGAGAGAACATGTTCAATAGGTGAAATATTAACTGGCATGCCACCGCTGCCAGACAGATGTTCAGAGAGTTGTACTGCAGTGACCTGCAGTGAAGGTAATATTAAACTGCCTCTTAAGTTTAGACAGAGAATTCCACTTTATTTTTGCGGCTCGGTAACAAAAATAAACATTTAAAGTTGTTGTTTACGTGTGCCGGGCTTACTGATTGAAAGGGGAAGGTCAGGTTGAGCGTGCTTTGAGGTGGTCAGAGGAGAAACTGTCCATGAATGGATCACAGCTTGTCGCTGCTTCAAATGCTAATGAAGTTTTGCTTTTGTCTCATGTGATTGTGTTTGAAAGCAGGCCTGCACTGCTCAGTTTTAGATGTTTGGACACGTGTGTGTGTGTGTGTTCGGGTCAGTCAGAGCCAAATCATTCGAAATGTTTTACTACATGTAACTAGTCCTCTTGTTTTAAAGAATGTACCAGCCCTCACAGACTTTGTAAGTAATCTGTGATTGTTCTAATTTTGAGTTTGGGGGTATTTTGTCTTTACGTCATTTTATGGTTTTTTTTGTTTTTTAAAGAAAGGGGAACTGAATGTGTCATTGCTTTTTCATCTGTTATGGTGGGAGTTTCGTAGGTGTGTTTGCTGTGGGGGTTTTTTGGGGGGGGTTTTAAACACTGGTCACTGTTTTATCATATGGGGTTAGTAGGAGTGTGTTGCTTTAACAGTGGCAGCTGTTTTAGAAGCATGTAATATGTCCTCGGGTGAGGATTAAAGCTTTAAGGATGTTGAGTCAATCTATTGCGTTGATTCCTGTGACATTGATTCAGAAGAAGTGAAAAAGCGGGTCAGTGTGGTTGTTGCTGCAACTTCCAAATTTTTAGCATTAAAAAAGAAAATAGCAGGTCATGTGCATTTGCTGTTGACAGAAAGCTGTAAACTATATGTAGAGATGTAAGGTCTCAACACACTCACGGAGGGAAGAACCGTTACAGGCTGATGGAACAACTTCAGCACCACAGATATGATTTGGTACTTTGTCTGATTCCTGTGGTCACCCACACATTCAGTGCTGATTTCACAGAAATACTCATGTAGGTTAATGCATTACTTAATAATTATTCATTTTTGTATGTGTTTGCATGTCCAACTGTATCCATGAATGCGCTGAAGTCTTGTCATGAGTAGTTTTGGAAGTTTTTGCACCAGGATAGCCACATGATTTTATTTCATTCCTGAGGTCTATGCTCGTTCTACAGCTGAAATTGAAATGTTGAAGTTTTATTGATAACAGATAAGGGAGAAGTTGTTCTGTGAAAATCTATTCCTCTCGGTAATTTAGCCACCTGACTGTAACGAGGCTCAACACGCCACAAAAAGTCATGCTGATGCTAAGCTAATTAATGTTCATTTTGTTTCAAAGCTAATGCTGGGTCGGTGCATAATACTCCTATTGTATCATGCATTTTAAGTGGCTTTAGTGGTTTGATCCAAACGTTTATTAAAGGATTTACTGAAATGTGTAGATGCGGTTTGATTAAAATCAATAAGGAAGGATTTTAAAAAGCTCTTATATGAAAGTGTGTTTTTAAAAAAATAAAAAAATAACGAGTATGCTTGACTGTGCAGTTATGCTACTGGTGACAGAGCCTGAATAATTTCTGACTTTTCACTCCTGTAACTTTAATTGCATATATTTCCAGGGCTGTAAAACCAGCTTCTTGCATAGGAACTGCTTGTACAGAAACTAGAATCAGCTGATTCTAGAGTCATTAAGTTCCTAATATGTATGGCAGAGCTGTAACTAACTCAGGTCAGCAGACTTATCTCTTTTTAACCTGTGAGACTTTCATCCGTCCTGTTAGTTTCTACTTCAACGTTTTAATCAGATGTTTGTTTGTTTTTTCTTGCATATTTTGCAGTTTTGTAAGGATTTTAATAACCGAGATGATCATGAGGTTGAGTCAGAACCCTGCAGACAGATTCACAAGTGTGTGGCAGCAGAGCTAGACAGTAAGCCGACATGTCTAATTGGATAGGTTCTGAGCAGCCTTGGTGGCGATGAACAAGAGGAATTTTCAGTTAGCTGATACAAGATGTGTTGACTAAGATCTCGGTGCTCACGTCCCAGGCCCTTTACGTAAGCCGGTGATGCAGCTCGGTGCCATTTTGCACCAAGTGACGATGTCTTTGTTCGGACCTGTATCTTTGTTCAGGCACATTCAGGATCCCGCCAGCCAGAGGCTGACGTGGAACAAACCACCAAAAAGTGTCCTTGTCATCAAGAAGATCCGAGATGCCAGTCTGCTACAGCCTTTCAAAGAGCTCTGCAGGTTCCTCACCGAGGTAACCACAAACCGAAGGGCGGGGGGCAGCGTTTGTTGGTGGGAAGCTGCTGAGTATTAATGTTATACCGCATGTCCAGTAAAAATAACAGGCTCTCGATTGTCGTGTGTCATTTAGGTGAAAAGCATGATTGTTTACGTGGAAAAGAAAGTCCTGGAGGACCCAGCCATTTCAGGCGATGAAAACTTTGCGGCCGTTACAAAGAAATTCTGCACTTTCAGAGAAGGTAGGGACACCAGTCATCTCTGATCCAGTTACATGAAGTGTTTATAACTTTTCTTTTTTTAAAATAAGAGATTTAAATGAGCTGTTGTCTACAAATCTCTTAGATCTCGACGACATCTCCAACCGTGTAGACTTTATAATCTGTCTCGGTGGAGATGGAACTTTGCTGTACGCATCTTCGCTCTTCCAGGTATTCAGCCGGTCGCCCACGCCGCACTCTGTGCGTTTTTGCTTTTGCTGCTGTAAACATAACCGTCTCCTCCCATCGTAGGAGAGCGTTCCACCAGTCATGTCCTTCCACCTGGGTTCCCTGGGCTTTCTGACCCCATTCAAATTTGAAAACTACCAGTCTCAGGTCAACCAAATTATTGAAGGTAATGAATGTTTTCTAACTGGTCTTTCAGCCTCCATGTTTGTATGACCTACTTGTACAAATCTTTCCATTCTTTTTGCGTAGCTGAAAGTTTTTGTGTGTTATTTTCCGTAAAGGAAGCTTAAAGCATTTGTACTGATTGCAGGTAACGCTGCCATTGTCTTAAGAAGTCGCTTGAAAGTGCGGGTGCTCAAAGAGAACTGGGAAAAGAAGTCCAGGGTGGACGAAAAGGGGATCATTTTGACCAACGGGGACATTGAAAGTAGCCGCAAAGCCATGCAGTATCAGGTAATGTGTCCACCTCGCATTGGGACATAGACATTCAAACTGTTCCTGCTGCAGAATGCAGATTCACAGACGATTGTCCCCTGTAGGTTAGAGCTTCTGGTTCTCCGATAAAAGTTTTTGTCACATAACTGCAGGGTCCAGCTCCCCTCGCAGCCTCAGCCCGCGCTAAAAATAGGTCAAAACGGCTCGCTAATGCAGTTTGCTCGTCCTGACTCGGCCGTCTTCAAAGAAGGCGCCTGCAGGCTGTTAACCTGCTGTTTAAAGAGCGGCAGGAGCAAACTGAGTCATTAGCGAAATGTAGCTCTGACCGCACGTATGAGGTTAATGGCTTCTGACAAATATTTGTACTGGCACAAATCCAACAATGTGGTGCGAGTGAGTGACATCATATCAGCAGACATGGGGGTTGTGGCAAATTGAAAATCGTTTGATGTGTGAATTGTGTTTTTTTTTTTTTGTTTTTTTTCTCTTCTCCCTCCCACAAATCTGCAGGTACTGAATGAGGTGGTGGTGGACCGAGGACCCTCCTCCTATCTCTCTAACGTAGACCTGTTCTTGGATGGACACCTCATTACTACAGTGCAGGGAGATGGTGAGTGGCATGAGAGCGCGGAGACTTCGAGGCCGTCCAGAATCAGGGCGTGCTCACAGTGAAATCAGATCAGTGCTGCGTGCTGATAAGGCTAACAACAGTTTTGCTTCACTATGTACCTATTAGAATGTAAACAACAGAATTTGAGAACAAACAACAGAATTTGAGAACAAACAGAATTTGAATGAAAACAACAGAATTTGAATGAAAACAACAGAATTTGAATGAAAACAACAGAATTTGAATGAAAACAATGGAATTTGAATGAAAACAACAGAATTTGAATCAAAACAATGGAATTAGAAATGGCGGGTTTTAAAGGTAGAAAAGCCAGGCTGCTCTCTGGGACTCTAAGTGTTCAGGATATCCATGAGTCACTGCAAAGGTTTGGCTTTTTTATTTTATGAAGAAAAATGTCTAGAAGCTTCTGCACAAAATTCTTCTTCTACACAAGAATTACTAAGAGGTGACGGTCAGTCAGAGATGCAGGCTGAACTTTGCCCTTCGTTACACTCTTTTGATGGCTCAGTGCATTAAGTACCTGAGCTTCAGTGAAAATGTGCTTTTGCATCTCTGTCCACTCAGGTGTGATAGTCTCCACACCCACAGGCAGCACAGCGTACGCAGTGGCAGCAGGAGCTTCCATGATCCATCCCAACGTCCCGGCCATCATGATCACCCCCATCTGCCCGCACTCTCTCTCCTTCAGACCAATCGTGGTGCCGGCCGGGGTGGAGCTCAAGGTACTGGCGAACTTGCCAAAAAAGCTCATTCATCACGTGCA